CCTAACCCTAACCCTAACCCTAACCCTAACCCTAACCCTAACCCTAACCCTAACCCTAACCCTAACCCTAACCCTAACCCTAACCCTAACCCTAAAAACCTAAAAGGTCGCTCGCGTGCGCTAGAGAGAAAGGTAGAGTAGTTAGCAGTAATACGCACTCTAAGAATAGCCTGCTATAACAGCCTATAAACGGTAGCGTATTAGTTACTATAGAGGTAGTAGTCGTAGAGCTGCTTAGAGGCGTCTCTACTATTTTCGTGCAACTGTAGCGCTATTAACTATTCTTTAGGCCTCTAGCGGATAGCTTCTCTAGATCTCTCTTACTTTACTATAGTTCTAGTAGGTATTGTCGTAGCTATAGGTGCGAGTAGAAACTTCTCTTACCTAGAGCGCGCGTTTAGGTAGAAAATAGGCCTTCTAGGTAAGAGAGGCTAGGCTGTATATCTACAAGCAGGCCTACGCAACAAGTTAGAATAAATAGAGCTCTAGGTAAGGTAATTAGGGTTTTACTTACTATACAGACTAAATTACGGTAGTATTAGGGCGTATACGACTAGCGTGTAGAGAGACTAGGGCGATAGAAGCGCGTAGAAGCAAGAGAAGCGAGGGTAGTAGAAGAAAGAAAAAGAGAATAAGGTAAAAAGAAGAGAGAAGAGAATAGAAGGTAGTAGATAGAAAGAAATTTTCTAAATAAATAGTAGCGCTCTAACTATATAACGTAGACAGTAGAGTAGTATAGTAGTAGTAGAAGTAAAAGTAACGTTAGATTAAAGGCTAGCAAAGTAATAGTAAAGGCGAGAGCGTTTCTAAGAAAGAGATCTAGTAGAGAGCTATATAGGTAGTACTAGAATACTAGTAGAAACTCTATAAGAAACTCTTTTTATTCTATTACTCTAGAGGCGCTATATAACAACGCGCTTTATTTCTTTTCTCCCCCTTCTCTCTAGTTTCTGTCTTTCTTAGCGGCTTGCCTATTAACTATACATAAAAGCAGAACCTAAATTCTTACTATCTAGGGCTAAAGAGGTACTAGAATAGCTTTATTAGATATTAGTAGATTGTAGCATCTAACAAGTGTAACACTACGTAAGAGTTAGCTTATAGGTAGTAAGAGAATATCTAAGAGTAGTAGGTCTAGCAAGCCTTCTATACTTACTATTTAGCCTAAAACTTAAGCACGCGTTCTCTATACTACACATCTCTACACGCTATTATATACCTTAGAATTATATAGATCTACTAGCAGCTTATTAGTATCTACCTACGTTAGGTTGCCTGCGTGTAGTTACACTAATAGCTTTAGGTAAAGATACTTAACGCGCAAGCGCTAAATCGCGTTATTAAGCGCTTAGACGAGCTCTAGCTAGTTTAAGATATTCTACTACTTAGCTAACTAGGTATAGAACTCTTAGATTGTAATCTTACTCTTAAATAGCAAATTATAAAGCGCGTTAAACCTACTACTAAGCTATATATTAAGAATCTAATATATATGCTTAATAGCGCCTAGTATTACGTAGTATAGGTTCTTAAAGTTCTTTAGTAGGCGCGCTAGTAGCTTCTTTAGCATATAGATATATATAGTTACTTTTATATAGGCTTTCTTACTAGTGTACGCTTATAAGAGCAACAAGATAAGGTAGCTATTTTTAAGGTAGAAGTAGAGCGTTTATAGAGAGAGGGCGTATAGGTCTAGAGATAAGGTACTAAAGAGTAGAGTGTAATCTTACATGCTAAGTAGGTCGCTAGAGATACTAAGTAGAGTAGTCTTTACTTTAGTTTTATTATAGGCGTAGAGCGTAGCAGAGACAGCTTCTTAGGTTACAGCTAGCAGAAGGGGTAGAAGAATAGGTTTTAGCGCCTAGCTCTTTCTACGTTTATAGAATGTAGCTCTACGTAATAGACTTTATAGAGACGTCTTTCTATAAAGAGCTAATAGGTCTTATACACGTGCTCTCTTCTTATTACTAGAGGTATTATCTAGCTCTTCTAGGTGTTGCTACTCTAGCTTAGAAGACTAGTTAGAGTTAGATGCTTTATTATAGTTATTGTTAACTATTTTATTATATACTATACTCTCTACTTACTCTATACGTCTTTACTTACTAGTTACCTATTAACTACATAAGTTATAGTATTTCTATAGTACCTTAAGAATAGTTAGTATTCTCTTAATCTAGAATCTAGCGTATACTAGGTTAGTAGATAGTGTTTAAATAATATTCTACGTTAGGTCTATCTCTATTATTATACGCTATTACTGTGCTATTTAACTAGCCTTTACTCTACTTATATTAATACCTGTTAGAAAGCCTCTATAGATATATAATATTCGCATGTTATCTAGACTAAAGATAGAGAATATCTATTTTATTTATACTAGTTTAGACTAGGCGCTATAGTCTACTTACGTTGTAGCTAAGTTGTTTAGCAAGGCTTTTACAAGTGTTAAAGCTTTATTAAAGTTATAGTATAGAATAGCTTAGATGTATTACCCCGCTATAACGCGCAGCGTTCTTCTAAAATATTAAATAATCTTCTCTACTAGCCTAGGTAGGGCTTACTCTCTAATACTCTATTTAATCTCTTCTACCTTTATAGTGTAGGTTGCCTTCTAGGCCTAATTTAGTTATTTACTATCTAGTTTAAATAGAGGCGCTACTTAATTAACCTATAGTCTAGACGCCTAGCTAGAGTAGTGCTTTGTTAATTCTTTCTACTTAGCGCAGGTAACTTCTATAGTTAGTAGAGCAACGCTACCTCTCTCTACTAGTATCTAGGTAACGCTATTAAAGAATAGTACTTCTATTCTAGTAATTACCTTATTAGACAGCCCTACTATATAGATAAAAGTATTAGCTAGCCTATTACCTACTAGATAAGCCTAACGCAACTATAGTGTATCTATAATAGATAGGTTATATAACTAGATATATATCTACGCTAGAATTATTAGAAGGTATCTAATGTTAGAGTTAGCCGCCTAGTAGTCTACCGTGTAATTATAGATAGTCTAATAGGTAAATTACTATACTCTTACCTTATGCGTCTTAGCTTTAATAAGTACTATAGAGACTCTAATACTTCTATAAAGGCTATTATAACCTACGTCTAGATACGAGTATTTATATATATTAAGTATAGGCACGTAGAGTAACTATACTCTAAACTTAGTAGAAATCTATAGTATTCTCTATCTCTTAATAGAGTTTTATAGACTAAGCCTATAGCAACGCTAGAGCTATAGCTCGTCCTAAATAACTCGTGTAGAGAACTAGTTAGTAACTTAGCTATAGACCTAGCAGCGGCTATACTAGATAGATAGTATTTACTCTAGTGTAAAGCAGCCTAGAGAGAAGCGTAGTATCTATGCTAGTGCTATAGTAAAGATAGTATTTAGCTTCTACTCTACTACGAGAGTAATATTACCTATACTAGATATAGAGTTTATAGCCTACATAGCTACCTCTACCTCTAGTATCTACTAGTTATATTTAGCAAGCTAGAAGTTATTAACATATTTAGTAGATAGGCACTAGTAGCCTTAGTGCTCTAGCGTGTTAGGCGCTACTTCTAGCTCTAGAAGTAGCGTATAGCTAATAATTTCTAATAGGTTGCTAGGTAACACTAGAAGTAGTAGAAAGTTTATTCTAAGCTCTTACCTATTACTAAAGAAAGCTATATCTAAGTAATAGATAGAAGAGTAGATACGTATTTTATTATTCTACTAGTACTATAGAATATATCTATAGTTTAGCTTAGACGGCTACTACTCTACTAGCTAAAGCGTAGCCTATAGCTAAAGCTACTTCTAAGAGTAGGTAGAGACTTTAAATAAGAGATTCTAGAAAGGTAGGTATCTCTTAAGCTATAACGTAAACTACTCTTTAATAATATTATACTCTTTTACTTGCGCTAGACCTCTAGCGCGTAGAATATTTCTAGCCTTAGTAGATATATCTACACTCTCTACTCTTGTACTAGTCTAAGAGTAGATAGATATATTAATAGTAGGCTGCCTATTCTAGAATATAGAGCCTTAAAGCTAAGATACCTAGATATAGTTACACGTTATCTTACGTAGAATAGTAGTATAGCTATTTAGTTCTACTTGCTTAAAACTAAGGTTAAGCTAGAAGTCTAAGAGTAGAATATAGTTCTAATTCTAGTAGCGCTCTATTATAGCTATAAATACCTTCTAAACTATAGTAAACGTTTTCTACTTACTAAAGGTAGCTAGTTTTGTATTATACTTAGATAGAATAATTATAGACTAGTTAAACGCGTTACTAGAAAGATAGGTGTCTTATATATTACATGCAAGTAGAATTATATAGTTCTATAGGTTACTAAGTAGATCTAAGGCTACTAGAATCTAGACGTTAACCTAGCTACTAGTTAACTCTATATTAGTAGCTATAATCTTACTCTTTACGTTTATCTTAATACGTATTTCCTTCTATAAGTAGAGATAATAGTATCTTATGCTATAAGAGTAGACTACGTCTAATATAGAAAGAAGAATACATTCTATTTAGAGAGCTATAGTATAGTTGTTAAGGTGCTAGATAGAAGCCTAAACCTTCTATCTATTAGAGGTAGTGTATACTAACAGTATACTAGAGAAGAAGACGTAGTAGTTCTATTCTCTAGCTACGTAGAATAGCGTATTCTTATAGCGCGTAAGGTTTACGTAGTAGAAGAAAATATACTAATCTACCTAGACTATCTATGTAAAGAAGAAGTAGAAATAGATCTCTATATTATACCTATTATGCCTAAAGACGCGTAGATAGAAAGGTAAGAAGATAATACTATTAACGTTAAACTACTCTTAGATGTTAAAGAGTCTATACGCGTCTTAGTGCTTACGCTTAGAGGTATTAAAGCTAAGTAATAGAGGCTGCGGAGGCTTCTGTATAGCGTCTAGGTAGACTCTAGTTAGTAAAGCCTTCTAATTTAGATAGATAGACGTATTTCTATTATATAATTCTATTAGTTTTAGTAAGCTTAATAGCGCGTACCTATGTAAGGCAAGTGCTAGTACCTAGCCTAGACTTCTACAAAGAAGCTTAGTAATACGCTAGAGCGTAGACTCTTCTAGTTACTTAAGACGCTTTTATTCTTTGTTTCTGTAAGTATAATTGTGCCCTAGATAGTAGATAATCGCCTGTATAGCAGCTTCTTAGGCTAGTAATAGAGCGCTGTTAGCATTGTCTTTAACACTATAGTAAAGCGAATTTAGAGAAGAGAAGGGCTTAGCGCTAAGCGCTCTACTAGTATAGAAGTAGGTATAAGTATAGGTAGAAGTATTGCTAGAGGCAAAAACAGAGCCTAAAGTAGTTATAGAGGGGCTAGTCTTAAGGTTATAGCTTGCTAAAGAAGTAAATAGCTTCTAGAGTATACCTCTAGGTTCTAGTAGCGTAGTAAGAGCGCCTGTAGAGCTAACCTAGTTACTATGCTAGCTATACGGCTAGTTATAATCTAAAACGCTGTTAGACTACCTAGCTAGAAACTACCTAGCTAGCGATAAAAACCTAGTAGAGAGTAACGCAGGCTCTTCTAGCTCTTCTAGCTCTTCTAGCTCTTCTAGCTCTTCTAGCTCT